TCTTGTTATTAAATTATTTAAAATAATTCTTAATTTTTATTTGTTATTATTAATTTAAAGATTCTCTTATTTTTACAAATTAATTATAAATTAAATTATTATTAATTTTTTGATTAATAATATTGTAATTTACTTTTAATTATTTTAATTTCCATAAATATTTTATTACTTATTAGTAATAATATTTTACTTTTGAAAGTATTATCATTTTCAAAATAACTAGTTTTATCGAATAAGTACTTTTACTATATAATGTTAATTTTTTTTAATAAAATAATAATATGTATACCTCTATTGTATTATTTTTATTAATTATATTTTTTTATAATTTCATTTATTATATTAAATAATTATAATAATTTATTTTTAGTATCATTTTTTTTATTACTATTAAATAATATCTAAATTTTTTATAATATTGAGCAATAATTTACTTTTTATTATTATATTTTTTAAATAAAAGAAATGATAATTTTTTTTTCGTATTATATTTTATTATTATTGAATAATAATTTACTTTTTTCATTTTTATTTAATACATAAATAAAAAAATTTTATTATTCATATTATTTTTTTCGTTATTATATATATTTTATAATATAATAATAATTAAATTTATATATATTATATAAAACAAGGAATTATATTATAATTATAACTTTTTGTGTTGAATAATAATATGCTTTATTATTTTTATTTATTATCTAAAATAATAATAATTACATTCTTATTTTTATTATTTCGATTCATTATTATATACATTTTTGAGTTTTATTTATTATTTAAAATAATAATATTTTATTTTCGGTATTATTATTAAATAATAATTTACTTTTTAATTTCTTCTTAATAATTATATAATGTGGTTTAAAATTTCTATTGTAAAATTTTATTTATCGTTATAACTTTTTTAATCGAATAATAATTTACTTCTCTTTATTATTAAATAATTATCACTTTTTTATATATTATTTTTAATTATATATCTTGTTACTATATAATAAATATTAATTTTATGTATTATTATTCATTATAACTACTCGTATTTAATAAAAATTTTCTTTCTATTATATATTTACTATATAAATTATTAATAATTATAATTTTTATTATAACTTTTTGTTTAGTATATTAATTTTCTTTTCTTTATTATTATGTAAATTAATAATTATTATTTACATTATTTTTTATATGTATTATTATTATAACTTTTTTTTTGGAGTACTAATTTACCTTTTATTATTTTTATTTATTATAAAATACTACTAATTATTGTTATCATGGTTGTATATATTTTTTTAAATACTTTTTTAAAAGTACTTTTATTATTTATTAAATTATAACTCTATTTATAAATAATTGTTGTATTTTTCTTGTTTCTATATTATAATGACTTTATTATTTTATTTATTATAATATTATTTTTCTAATACTTTTTATTATATATTGTTATATTTATTATTAGTAATAATTATTATTTTTTATTTTTTATTTTATACAATTTTTTACTTTTATTTTGATTCTTTAAATATTTTTTATTATCAATTTTTAAAATTATTATCGTTTTTATTCAATATTATCATTTATTGAGTATTTATTGTTATTATTTTATTATAAAATTACTTTTTATTATTTTATTGTTACGAAAAACATAAATAAGAATATTATTATAATATTTTTATTTGTTGTTATTATTATTATTTAATACATATATTTATTTATTTATTTCAATATTATATTATTTTCAATTTTTACTGATTACTATTTTTTTTATTTCTATTTTATTATTAATTAATGAACGATTATAAATTTTCTATGTATTTATTATTCTTGGAAAAATATTATTTTTTATTATAAATTTTTATATAGGTTACTTTTATTAATATTTTTTATTTATTATTTTTATTTTTTACTTGTTATTTTATTATTTTTAACTCTTTTTCTTTTTTATACTATTTTATATACTTTTATTATTATTCATATTTATTTTTTTTATCAGTAATTTTAATCTATTTTTATACTACTTTCTAATAATTTTTATTTTATTTATATTTTTTATTATTTTAATTATTATAAACATTTAATTAATTAATTATTAATTTTTTTATGACTTTTCTTATAATATTATTATATACCTTTTTTATTTTTATTATTTATTATTTATAATATTCTACTATATTATTTTTATATTAAACTTATTGTCTATTTTTATACTATACTTCAATATTTTTTATTTTAGTAATTTTTATTTCTATTATTTCCTATTTTTATAATAAAACTTTTTATTTATTTTAATACTTTTTTTAATATTATTTATTTTATTACTACTTTATATCTTTTAGTCTATATAATTCTCTTTTTCAATATTTTCTATTTGATTTATATTACTTAACATTAACTTTAATTGACTAAATATTTATATTTTTATTACTTTTTTTATAATATTTATTAAATAAACTTTATAAATAATTAATATTTTTATTATAATTTTACATAAATATTTTTATTTATTATCTTATTATTAAAATAAATCTTTTACTTTACTTTTTGATTCTATTATATAATTTTTTTAATAATTGTTATTATTTTATTTTATTATAAAAAAATTAAAAAAAAAACTTACAATCAATTATTCTATTGATTATTTTATACTTTTTATATTTTTGTTATTTTTTAGTAAAACTATTAAATTAATATTTTTTTATTATATATTATTTACTATTTACTATATCATTTTATATTTTTTGTGTTGATTTCTTTTAACCATAATTTAGTTATTAAATAGTATTTTATTAATATTTTTATTATGATACTTTTTATTCTATTTTTATTGATTTTATGATTATTATAAATATTAATTTTCTTTATTTACATTATAATTCTATTACTTTTTACATATACATATTATTTTATATAATTTTTATTACAATTTCATATTTTTAATTTTTTTTTTCCGGAAATTTTGTCTTTACTTATTATTTCTATTAATAAATCTTATAGCTCAAGCTTTAATTCTTTATATATTCCACCTGCTTATCCCTTAGACTTGGCCTTAAAAAGGTTGAATATATTTTATTTTCTTATATTATAAGCATTTTTAATATTTTTAGATATTATTATAATAATTAAAAAGTTGAAAATAATACTAATATAAAGTTTATATGAAAATTACAGTAAAATATTGAACTGTTAAAAAAACTTATATTAATTAAGTTTTAGTAATTTTTGTATAGTTTATGAGTTTAATTTTAGAAATTAAAAATTTTAATAGTAGTAATTTTAGTACTAATAAGTTTTATATGTAACACTTGAACATTTTGGTAGTTTATGAGTTTAATTTCAGAAATTAAAAAATTTAATAGTAGTAATTTTAGTATTAATAAGCTTTATAAGTATTAATTAAACATCTGGTTATAAATATTTTTAATAATATTTTAAAAAAGTTTAAAGTATTTTTCAATAATTTTTATAATTTTATTAAAAAAAATTATAATAATAATTATTTTATTGATTATGACTTAAAAGGTTAATACTTATAGACTTTTTTCTTTTCTGTCCCTCTATTTTATTGGTTGTATATGAATTGTTTCTAAAATTTACTTGGTCAAAATAATTAAAATTGGTAGCCTTTTGTATCTCTTATTGTGCTGTTAATTATTATAATTCGTTTTTTAAATTGTAACAAATTCTTAAATTATTTGGACCACTTTAGCAATTTTTTATAGATTGTTTTTATCTGTTAATTTATCGTAATTTTTTTGTTTTTTTAATTATTTTAATCGTGTCTTAAATGGCAACAAAATCTTAAGATTATTTGGATAGATTAAGTAAATTTTTATATTAAAAAAATTTATTTGTAGCCTTTTGTATCTTTGTATCTTAGTACCTTTTTGTCCTAAAGTGTAACTTTTAAATATTTCATGGCTTTGTTTTTTTATGTTGCTTTGTTGTGTTGCCTTTTTTGTTCCTTTTTTGGTAATATCAATGATTTTATTTGTGTTCAAAATGTTACAAAATTGAAACTTTTTGATCTTATAGAATTATTTCGTTCAATTCAATCATTTTTTGTATTTATTATTAATTATCTATTCCTTCCAGAAAATACAACAATTTCTATTTTATTTTTGCGTTCAATTTAGTTAACTTCCTTATTAGTACTTTTCTTTGGCTTCTATAAATAATTTAAATTTTTTACATAAAAGCAATAATTTTAGTAATTTTGTCCTTTTACTATTTTCTTTACTGTTTTTTATTTTTGTTGTCTTATTTTATTCGTGTTATAAAATGAAACAATTTTTATTATATTTCAATCTTTTTAGAGTGTTCTGGACCAATTTAGTTATTTTTTGTTTTTATTTATTATCTATTACTAACATAAGGTATACACTTTTGTATTTATCTTGACCTTTTTAGGTTTATTTGATCCAATGTTTATTTCTCTTCAAACCTTAGTTGTTAATAGTCTTTTTTGTATCTTTATGTTTCTTAATAATTTTATTTAAAGACGAATAAAATTATTAACATTGTGTGATCTCTTTACAATTATTTGTTTTGATTTATTCATTTTTAGTCGATAATTATTTATTTGTGTTCTTCTTTCTTATAAATTATTCGTGCCATTTTTCATATTTTAGACCTTTTATTAAATTTCTGATCCATTTTATCATTATTATTATTGCACATCAAAATTTTAATTTTACTTATTCTTATCAGCATGAATTTTTTTAATAATTTTTATAGTAAAATATAACGATTTTATTGTTTATTATATTTTTGAATAAATTTCAACATATATATATTATTATACTTATAATCCTATTCATAATAAATAATTATTTTTTTAAAAATATATTTATTTTTTTTTAGTTCTAATTCTATATAATTTTTTAAAGCTATTATCGTAAATTCTATTTTATAACATTTCTTTATTATTTTTGTTGTTATTTTTATAATTTTATTTTGTTTGTATTGATTGATAATAAAGGAAAAATTCCCCGACTAACAATAATCAAAACGTTGGAAAGTTTGCGAAGAAAATGCTTATGCAAAACTCCCCTTCGCTTATGCTTACTTCTGGTTATTATTATGATTTCCATTTAAATATTATATTTGCTAAAAATTTTTAAAATTTGCTACTATTATATTTATTATTATAAATATTATTTAGAAATTTTTTTATTAATATAATAAACTTTTATGTTATCATTTTTATATATAAATATTCAATCTCTTTTATTATTTTATATATATAAAAGAAAACTTTTAATAAGTATATAATTATTTAGACTTTACTTATAATATTATATAAGTAAAAAATATTTATTAGAGTATATTAAACTTTATTATTTGTTTTTTATTAAAACCATTTTTAATCAACATTCACTCTTTTTATTATATTATTATTTAAAAGAAAAACTTTATTAAGATTATATTATTTTTTTACTTATAAAAACTGTTATTAGTTTATTATCATATACTATGAAGAAAACTTTTGAATGGTATAATAAACTTTTATTAATATTACTTATCAATAAAAACTTTTATTTATATATCACTATTTAGTCTTTTATTATTATTTAATATATAAAAGAAAGACTTTGATTAATAAACTTTTATTTGAATTATTTTTTATAAGAAAACTCCCTTTTATCTATGTTAATAATCAATCTTTTATTAATATTATTTTCCAAAGGAAAATTTTTTTCAAGAGAATATTAAGCTTTTATTATTATTTTTATGATAAAAACTTTTACTTTTATATTAATATTTAACTTTTATTATTATATTTATTATTACTTAAAATAAAAATTTTTTATAAGAATATTTTATTTTTACTATTATAAAGTATTATTAGTTTTATATTCTTCACTTTTATTATTATAATTATTATTACCACAAACTTTTATTGATATAATTATCTTAGATAATAATAATTGTTATTATTATTATATAATATAATAACATTATTATTGTCTAATAAGGTTTTTTTTTATATTATCATAAATCATTAAAAACAATATAAATTTTTGTTTATTATTATTATGAATTAAAGTTTTTATTGTATTATGATTTATAAACTACAAGACTTCTATTATAAAAAAAAACTCTCGGACTCTTTATAACTTTTTTAAAGTTTATATTAAAAAATTCTCTCTAATTATTAGTGTAAAATTATTTATAAAAATAAATTTATAATTAAAAATCATTATTAAAAAACAAAGTAGTTTTTTATTTACTTTGATATTTATTTTTAATATGAGTAAAAAAGTATTTCCGGTATAAAAATATTATTATTTGTTTTTTTATTATATATAAATATTTAAATATAAAAATAAATTTTACATTGATTATAATAAATATTATTTACACTGGAAAAATAAAATTTAAAAAGTATGTTTGACGTTTCAAAGCTATTATTATTATTATTGTAATATTAAATGAATATAACTATAATAAACAACGATGAGCGTCTAAAATACATAATATATTAAACCGCTTGGGATTTGTTACTTTTATGACTTTCGGTTGATATAGTGGCTCTTTGTGGTTGCAGTTATTTTTATATATGTGCCTTTTTTTATTGGAAGTTAGTTTCCATATAAAAAATAGTAATATGTTTCAACCAATCACTTCCTTAAAAGAAAAGACAACGAATCGTAGCTTTTATTATTTAGTACAGAATTCATTATTTTTTTGTACAAGAAACCTTTAGCCAATCAGAAATCAGAGAGAATTTCACTGAAAATTATATCTATAATTTGATATGCTTTCCTTTACATTGGTGTAACCGCTACAACTTTTTATTGGCTGCCATTCTTTTGTTCCACCAATCAGTTGTGAACTTTTTTGCGTCCCTCTAATACAGTTGCTAGCCATTTCTTGAGTTCACACCTTATTACACCAAACTAACTTTTTCATATGAAAAAAGTTTTTTAGCTCTTCCCTTAACTGAATATTCGCAAGTGTTTGAAGGTCACAATAATAATTATAGTAATAATTATAAAATACTAAAAGTTTTTAGTTGAATAGGATCGAGCTTATTTTCCTTAGTTTATATTATAAATGTTAATAAAGTAAAATATAATAATGAAACTAGCTGGTCTTACACCAAAAAATATTTTAAGAAAACTGAGTTAAAAACTTTTATATAATAATGATAACTGATAACTTAAATAAATAGCAAAAAAATTGTAGAATAAAAAAAAAATTAGAAAATTTGTTTAATATTTTTTCAGAGGTGCCGTTTTGCTTGTCATAAAAAAATTTATATTGATAACAATGAAGAAATTTCTTTTGGTTGGTTATAAAAGAAGCATTATGCTAATAATAATAAAGAAATGCTTTTTAGTTAGTAATAAAAGAAGCAATAAATTTAATTAAAAAATATAGAAATAGTGGAATAAAATTTTTTATGGAAGTTATGGAGAAGATCAAAAGGGGTAAAAAGATGTAAAGCTTCTTTTTACTTTTTTTCTTGTGAAATTCTTAAAAATAATTTAGTAATAGATGAAAGCATAGAGAAAAGTTAAAGTGGATACTTATAAAATATACACAACTATAAATTACTTGCATTTTTAATTATTTAAAGTCATGGAGATCCCAAAAATAAAAATAGATTAGTAAGAATATATACATAATAAAGTATTAGTTGAGTATTTATAATATTAAATATAACTGCTGTAAAGAAATTGTAGATAATGATATTCATTAATAGAACAATTATTCCTTAAAGGGTAAACTTTGCAGGTATAATATTTAGTTTAAGGCAAGTTTGAAAATTTGTAAAATTTTTATTTTATACAATTCTATACTTTTTATTGTCCAAAAAAAATATTTCTCTATTTATTTGCTAACTGGGATTGAATTAACTATATATTTAGCTTAGAGCAAGTTAGAAAAGTTAAAATAAATATAATATACTTTTTATTGATTAAAAACATATACATCTTTCGAAGCGGTTTGAACTACTCAACCATTTAGCCTTAAGCAAGTAAATAGTTAAAAATATAATACTTATGTAAATTTATACCTTTTATTGTTTAAAAAATATATTTTTCACTATTTACTGTGAACTTGGACTAACCAGGAACACTATTTTTTAGCCACGTGAAGTAAAAGGCGCGTAAAAAAAGTTAGTAATTTTTTTTTTAACTTCGAAAAAATATTAGAAAAAACTCTAATCACGTTGAGCCGCACGAACCACAACCATAAATGAAGTACAGCATAAGCTTTATTTAAAAAATATATATATTCAGTTTCGTTTCTATTCCGCTCTAAGACATAAAAGTTTTAAAGAATGGAGCCTCAAGGCAGATTCACTATATTAATTTAGTCTTTCAAAAGTAGTTTTTTGTTAACTTTAAATAATTATGAAAGAATGCTGAATTGATAGCTGGTTTGCTTAAGGATAATTAGTTTATTCTATATAAAATATTGACGTTTATATAAAAAAACATTTATTAAAGCAATAAAAGAACGCTAAAGAGTGTAGCGAGTTTACTTTTGTAAAAGCAATGTTTTAAATAGTAAAGTTCTTGTTGACTTTTATGATTTCTAAGAAAAAATTTTTTATATAAAAGTATTAAAGAATGCTGAAGCGCTTTTCGAGTTTTCGTACTTAAATATTCAAATTTGTATAAAAGAGTTTTTGTTTATTTTTTCAAAAAAATGGTTTATAAAAGTATTGAGGAATGATGAGCCAGGCGTGTAGCGAATTCTTTATATATGAATATTTAAAGTTTTACTAAAAAGAAGTTTTAGTTAAATTTCTAGGTTTTTTTAAAAAAAATTGTACTAAAGTATAAAAAGATGAAGAGCCGCATAGCTAATACTCGAGAATAAAAATTTTGCTTAAATTTTAATTTTTAAGATTTTCCATGACACGTGGCTCTCTTTACCTATTATTGACCAATAAGGTGACAGCTCTGAAAATTAGAACGGTTCGATTTTAATAAAGCGGTGGATACTTTAAAAGTAGCATGCAAGAGTATAAAACTTACAGAGCCTTGAAAGAAAATATTTTATTTATTTTCATAATTTGAAATGCGATGTTTTGTGAATATTTAAAATAATATACTAGTTAAAGAAATAACAATTTTTTAACCAATGAAAAATGCTCTAATTTCAATTTTATTGAACAGAATTATCGTTGTAACCAATATTATTAGCATTCAATGTTTTACAAGGACAGTTTTTTTGGTGGCAAAAATGCTTAAACAAAATTTAATTCCTTAAATAGTTATTATTATACCATAATTATCCATTTTCTGAAAAAAGTTTTTTTAAAATTATGATTATAGAAAAGCGAATAAAGGAGTATCGCGAACAGTCTTATATAACAAAATCTCTTCGCCGACGTCCTACTAAAGATTCTGATCAGACAGCGTGAGATTTATTATTTTTATTATTACCAATAAAAATTTAATAATAATAAAAATTGTTACTAGAGATAGTGATGTAGATGAAGCAGCTACTGAAACTTTGATATGTAGAACACCAGGAACCCCTTTTTGTTTTAGATCTTATACTAATAATAATAATAATAATAATATAATTGTCCAGCAAGAAAAAGAGTTATGCTGCTCTTTTTCGGTATTAATGCACAAAGAAAATTAATAATTAATATTACTTTAATATTAAAAGCCAAAAGTTTTAAGGTAACATTAGTTCTTCTCTTTAACGGGGTTAATAAAACTGTTAATAATCACCTTTTTACTGGTTTTTTATTAAAAAGTTTAAAATTAACCTTCAGTTTCTCTTTAACTTTAATATATTAAAAAGTAACGAGTTTTCCTTTTACTCGTCCTTTAGCTCGTTTTGCTTTTTGATATTTTAAAACTCAAAACTGGATAAACTCTGCATTAAATACCCCTTTAGTTTTAAAAATTCTAGTAGCCTTTTTTAGTAGCGTCCTTACAATTTATCTTACCAATGACATTTAGTAAAAGAAAGCCAATGAGAGAGATAATATGTTCCTTTTTCAACAAACAGCATTACTGCTGGTGATGAAGAAACATAACTTATTTTTTATTTTTTTGTTATAACGCAACCACACGAGCCTAATATACCAGTGAGTAGTATAATATACTAAACGTTTGATTGTAAGATGCCTTGATCTCAACTAATTTTATATTCTATTGCCGACTCAAACTTAAGTGTTTTTACATAAGCCTCGCCTTTAAATAATTTAAAGATGTGTTAAATTACGCATTTTATAAAGAGCTAAGTTCACGGGTGTAGGTGTACTACACTTTAACTAAGCCGTTTCTTCTAGTTTTTTTTTTGCTATAAAAGACACTATAGCTTATTCTCGAGAAATCTCTTACTGCAGAATGTTCATCTTGATATTTATAAAAGTTTTAGTAGCGGTGATCACATCTAAAGCGTCTTTGTCCGTCAGGCAGGGTTGAGAACTTGCAGTGCTAAGAAAAAACAATTATCAAGATAGAAGCATAACATTTTTAATTTATAACAGACCAGCTTTTGTTGAGAATCAACCAAAAAAAAGGGATCGGCTCCTCTCTTCCATGCGTTGAACACGTACACAGGCGTTGTAAATAAGTTAAGCGACTAATATTAGCTATATTACAACCATGAATATAAACAAAAAGCTTCATTAAATAATAATTCAACGGTTTCGCGTTTATTAAGAACATTTATTGTATCGAAAAGCATTTCTTAACTACAGTAAGAAGATTTCTAGGAGCTCCACTAAGGGCCCAGAAATATATGAAACGTTCATTTATATAAATAGTTTAATTTTCTGCATTCATTATTAACAGTTTAGAGTGGCTGTTATAATAAACGGCAATTTATTAAAGTAAACACACCCTGCAGTTAGATACTATTATTCCTTTACAAGAGTATACAGCCTCCACACTTTCCCTTATCCTAACGATAAAATAAGAGCATAAATATTATGGCAGTAAAAAAAGAAGAGATGCTTGTTGAGGACAGTGCTTTCGTAATCCAGTAACTTTAGAGCCAGAGCCCATCTGCACTAAAGTTATAAAATTCCTCCTTTCAAGTTTATATATTCAAGTTTTTCTTGTTTGTAGATTAACGTTTCTGTCTGGCTTATATGTTTGTCGACGGGTAAGTTGTTCTAAAGCTGTTATAGTTGTTACAGCAAATTTCTTAAATACTATTTATTAATAATATGCTTAAACGTTTGTCAACAAAAGAAGTTATATACTAGACAACCAAAACAAAGTTGCTAGAGCGAAATTTTTGGATATTATTATAATAAATAGTATTAACGTGAAAAAAGTTTACTCGGAGCAATAGACTCCGAGTCCTGACATTATGCAAATAAGAGGAACTACTCCAGCCTGCGCTGCACCGAATATACAGCTCTAATTTAATATATAAAGAAAGTCATGCTTTTGGAGAAATGAAAATTAAATAAACCATAATTATAATTATATATATATTTTATTTTCTGTTAAATTTTTTTTTGTATAGGTTACCAATTAAACAGTAAAAATCAAAATAAATATTTTATGCTAATTTGATTATATTTTTATATACTGTCTTCTATATATTCCAGAAAAGAAAGAAAAATAAATAATAATATAAGACTATTTCAAATATATATGCTAATAATGATGGAACGCAATTAATTATTTTTTATGTTTTCAGTTGGGTTACGCAAATGATTACTCGCCCTAATACTAGATCGAAATTGGAGGTCGAGAAAATAAAGCTGTAAATAATTGATGTTGTAATATGCGGGGGACTTTTTAATAATCACACAAGAGGATTGTTTTGTAACCTTCCTTCTAACTTCTACGGAAACTTGTTCAAATAAACTGGTTAAAAGCAGAAGTTGAGAAATGCTCTCTAAACTTTATAAAGAAGTTTAGTCCCATTTATTATTTTCGTTCTAACGGTTAACACTAGTTAGTGACTTATCAAGTATAATAAAATTATTCAACAGCAAAAAACAAATCATCTACCAGGAATTTCTGCTATCTTTAGGAGAAAACAGGAGGGCAAACTAACGAGAAGCCGAGGGGCAAGCAATAAACGAAATTTCTCTTTAGTTGGGCGATTTTTCTTCCTGCAGTTCATATCGATGGAAGGGGCCTGCAAACTACGACTTTTTACTTATAATTTGCGATAGATATTAAACTTGTTTACAGAGCTCTCTATTTTAAATATAGTTATAAAAGTAAATATGTATATTATATCTTTTTTTTCCCCTTATTTTAAAAATGTATATACCTTAATATAATAATAATTAACAGGCCCTCCTCTGAGGAAGAGCTGCCAGAAATCAGTGGTAACTAACTGGTTATAAATGAAGAACTTAGAAAAGAGTTAGATTTTAAAAAGGCAAATGTTTTTAAAGTTGCAAAAATTACTTGGAGAAAAATCTCAAAGGGGAAAAGAGCCTTTTTATAATATAACCAAAAATAATGGTGTATCTTCTGCCTTAAAAATTCTAGATCAATAAAAGCTTTCGAGGTGATACTAGAAGATAGAGAGACTTTAAAGTTTCAAAAGAGGGTCTCTTCACGGGAAAAAAGAGAAAATTAATAACAGTAGTAGTAGTAGTAGTAGTAGTATTTATAACTAATAATTCCCGTAGTAGCGTCAAAAATTACAATATAAGTGTTAGCAACAACAAAAGTAGGAAAAATAACAATATATACAGTGGTTAAATAAAAATATTAATAGTAATAATAATAGTAATAAGTATAAACCTTGTAATAAAGATAATACTTAATAGCCCCCATAAGAGTAACGACAATTTGATAGTCAAAAATTCGGAGATCCTTAAGAGCTTTTCATGACACCGTTAACTAGAGATGGGCAGCGCCCCTAACTTTGCCCAGTATCTACTTCGGCAGCCTCCCTACGAACTTGTAAAGAGGTGATCCTTAACATTACCCTTTGTTAAAAATAAAGTGGCCCCTTCTTGTACAACTTTTGCATTCCAACGATATCACGATCCCGAGGTTGAGAAATACGCGTTTTGGAAATAAAATGTTTCCAACAACGATCATGGGCAATCAAGAATTACAACCCTTCACTTATTAATTACTTGAAAAAATCCATCCCCTATGATATGTGGGACTTTTTGTGAACTCGATTCACCATGGAGCCGGACCTGCATGCGCAAGGCATTACACCCTTCCAAGTGATACAGATGCACAAGGAGGATTCTGTTAATGGTCAATGGAAGAAGAGTTCACTACAATAATTCTAGTGCATATACGTAGAACCGAAAGACAAAAGCTAAAAGAATTGAAGAGTATTTCTTATTTTTAAATCAAAGTAGAAGAACTACGAAAAGGCAAACGCGTTAGCCATTTGCCACTGCAAGCTTTTGCGCTGCGTCACCCTTGAGCAAAATGCGGGAGGTCATTGACCGCTCGGAGTATATCAAAACACGAGGCTCGACGGTTAAATGTGCGAACTGCGTAGAGACACATACCGACAACTACCGGGGCTGCGAATGTTACCTGCGAGGGCCATAAATGCCAACCAACCTGCGCGGCCACGACATCCGATTTCCACTACGCACCCCTCAGCAAATCGCCCACGTTAGTTTTTCTTCTGTTTCTGCAATTTGGAGCATGTAATAATCCCGCAAGCAGCGTTTATGCGAACCTTTATGGTTTAAAAGTCCTTTGCTGGTTTTATGGTAAATATCTATTGTTCAATCTCTCCATCAGTTCGGGATTGCAAAAGTTTCTAACCTTTTTTTTAAAGTCTATCCATCTATCCATCACTAAGTCCACCTGGCAGAGCCAAGTGCGTCCCTTTCATTTTTAAAAAAATATAACAAATTTATTAATTTTTTTTTTTAAGGCTGGGTAACGGAAAAATTAAAAATTAAAATACCTGAATAGTTTTTCCGAGAAAGCTTACGGCAGTACTTTTCACTAACTTGAGCAGAATGCAGTGACACATATTATCTTTCTCAATAAGTAGCGTATTATGCGTCCCCTACTTAACTTCTTATTCATATATAACCTTTTATTTAATATACTACCTTCATAGTTTTACGTGAACAATTTTACACTTTAAACATTTTTTCCTAAAGGTTTTTACTTCTTTTTAACTTAAATCAGCATTCGAAGTCGAATGTTCATTCTTAACAAGTTTTTCCTCCTTTTTTTTATATATATTTCAACTAGTTAAATTTAGCTATTTCTACAAACACATAGAGTATAAAGTAACCCCTAAAGCAAATGGTATACTATTAAAACAAGTGATATAGCCTTCTAAGAAATCTTTCCATCTTTTATACTTCTCTAAATATTTTCAACAAATCCTTTTAATTGTTTGTAAGACTCTCTCAACTAATCTTTTAGCTTGGTAATGGTTGAGATTGTAATATACTTCACTTCTGTAGGACACTCTTCCAAGATTTGAGAGATTTGAGTTGCTCTTTTGCTCTCAAATATTGCCATTCTATTCATATTGAGGTTATTAAGCCTTCTTATTTTAAAATTTTTTTTTAAACAATGATCACAATCTTCACATTTAACCTAATGAAGATCCGTGTTTAAACAAATCTCGAGTTCCTATCAAGTTTACTAA